AACATTAAAATTACTTGTAGAATTTCAAAGCATTCCTCCATATCTACACAACGGAATTTCTCTATGCTTTGAACAATAATTAACAATCAATGACATATACGCTTGCTCAGAAAATTGTATAACTTCATCTGATGAAAGATATCTTGAACGTATTCCATTTGCTCTATAATCACTCTCAAGAAATCCAATTGCCGCAAAAGCCCAACATGTCCCTCTTGAAAATTGATTCTTTACTGGAGTTAATGCTTCTAAAGGAACACTCCATTGCTTTGGTCTTTCAATTGAGTGGACATTAATTACTTTCACTTCCATTGTTCCAGAACGAAATCCAAGCATAATTAAACTACAAACAACAACAGCAAATACAAGAAATTGAAATGACCATAAAATAATCCACAACGTCCAAAGATTTTGGGTTGTTTCTTTCCCCATAAATAAAATATAAATCTATAAAACTATTTTTTTTTTTAAGTTTTTTTAATAAAAAAAATAAAATTAGAAATCGTTTGAATCTAAAATTATTAATGAAATCATCATACCTTTCTTAAATTTTGGTAGTATTATAACTTTTTTTTTTCATATTCATCTTTGTTCTGAGTCATAAATAAATGTAATTTATTATCTTTAAAAAATAAACAAAAGGGATATTACACACTTTCATCTCTATTTATATCATTCTCTAATGAAAAAAATCAAACAAAAAGATCTTAAAATTAAAAGTAATGTCTGCATTTACTAAATGGACGACATCAGAACTCCTTGTATTATTTGAAGCTATTCAATACTGTCAACGTACGAATCAAGACGATTGGGAATATGTTTCAAATTTAGTTAAAAGAACAATGAGTGAAACAGGAATGACAATGAATGAAAAATATAACAAATATGGATGTGCCTCTCAATATAATGAATTTGAAATACAATATCGTACTCTCGCTAGTGATAAGAGTATTGTTGATTTTGCAGTTAATTTCCTAAGAGAAAAACGTGTTGCTGAATTAGAAAAAGAAATTAGAGAAAGAGAAGCCCATATTAATGAATTAAAGTCTCACCTTGCTTAATTAGATTTTTTTACTTAAATAAACTTTTCATTTCGTTTTTACTTTTTTAATCTTCTCCCATTAATCTTTCTTTCAAAAATAATTTAAACAAAACTATTTTAATAATAGAAAAAAATAAAAAAATATGGTTTATGAAAAAAATTTCTTTAGCAATTCAATATTTTTTAAAGAGTTTTAAGCAAATGAATTGGTTTTGAATAATCTTTTTCTTTGAACACATAAGAACCTGCTACAAATGAAGTTGCTCCAGCATCTTTTGCTATTCTTACGGTTTTATCTGAAATACCCCCGTCTACTTGAATATCTTTTGATGGCCATTTCTCTCTTACTTCTTTTACTTTTGGCATCATATCTTGCATAAATGATTGACCACCAAATCCAGGTTCAACAGTCATAATAAGAACACGATCAACTTTATCGATAATATCTTCAATTACTTTGACCTGTGTTTTTGGTTTAATAGAAACACCTACTTTAACCCCTTTACTATGAACCATGTCAATGATTTCTTTTGCTTCTTCAATTGAACTAACTGCTTCGATATGAAATGTTATAAGAGATGCACCAGCATTAACATAATCTATAACCCATCGTTTTGGGTTTTCAATCATTAAATGACAATCAAGAAATGCCTTTGGAATTGCATTATGAAGACATTTTACAATTGGTGCACCAAGAGTTAAATTTGGTACAAAATGTCCATCCATAACATCCACGTGTAATTCATCTGCACCAGCTTGTAAGACAGCATTGGCTTCATCAGCCATATGAGAAAAGTCACAAGAAAGTAAAGATGGGCAAATAATTGATGACATTTTTAAATTAACTTCATTTAGTTCATTTAATAAGTAGTTTGATTTACTGACTTCCACAATATGAAAAGAAAATCATAGAATAATCTGATTTGTTCCATACCATTTTTTTTTCCATTAACAAACAAGATAATAATGTTTTATAAAAACACAAAATTAAAATAAAAAAGTTAATTAAAGGATGGATTAAGTATTACCATTAACAAAAGAATAACAACATAACTGACAATGATGCTCAAATTGTTTATAAGAATTGGGATATCTACAGGACTAACTTTATATTCAACACTATATATTGTGTCAATTAAAGGGGGTGGAGTTAATGGAGAAACTAACATAACAAAACGAGCTACATCTCCAATAAATGGCTTACAAGAAAAGTATATTGTTAGCCCATAAATTAATCCATAAACTGTTCTATACAAAACAACTCGAATGCTTGGCCAAAGATATTTTAATGGAATATGCCATTCAAAGAATATTCCTAAAACAGTATATGACAATAATGTATTTGCACTAGCTCCAACATCAATACAAGCTATAATAAAACTAGGAACTTTTATATGAGATAAACCACAAAGATATCCTAAAACTAATGCATATAAGGGGACACATGTAAAAATTGCACGTAATGTTTCTTTTAAAATTTTTTGAGTTTGTTGATTAAATATTCTTTTCCAGAAGGAATGATGTTCAGTTTCATTTTTAGAATTAATTTTTACTTGATTATCATTCGGTTCAATAATTTGATATGGTTGTGTTTCATTTATGAGTTCTGGTAATTGAGGAGGTTCTATTTTAATTTCAGTCATTGGTTCTTCTTGTGTAGTAATTAAATTCTTTTTTTTTTCTTCTGTTTCAAATGCATCATTTCCTTGATTTTGAGATATTCCTAATATTGCATATAATGGTCTTAATACTGCATAACAACAGAAATCATTTGCTACACAAAACAAAATTGTTTTACTAATTCCATCATCAGCAACAGATTTCATCACAGGAAATATAAATAATGCAGTGTTTAATGCAAAAGAATTAAAAATAGATAGTTTTTTGATTGTTTTGTCTTTAACAAACCAAAAGACAAGAAGAGAAATTAATCCACCACATAATTGAAAAATAATACCTCCAATAAACAAATATAATGAGTCTAAATCAAGTGTTTTGTTATTGTAAAGATTTCTAAATATTACACATGGAAGTGCTAAATTAAATAACACTTTCATTAATAATGGACTATTTTTTCGAACATCTGTTCTAAAAAAACATAATTTCAAAATAAATGCTAGAGTTATGACTACTAACATGACTCCAAATGTTTCATAATATTGAACCATGTTTTTATTTGTTTATTACAAAGACTTCTATCTAATTTTTAGTGATTTTTCTAATTTTTAGGGTTTATTAAATGAACTTTTTTAAACAATAAGAATCGTTTGGTTTTAGAATATTATTTCATTTTCATTTTAAATAATGATATTTTATTTTTTATTTTTAATTATTTTATTTTTAAAATATCTATAAATAGATATTAATATTTTTCATTTTTGTCTTTCAATTTTGATAAAGATTAATGTTTTTATAATTTTAAAACAATATAATATTTTTTATTTTCGTTTCTTTTCAAGAACTCATTATTTATAATGTGAACATGTTGGAAATAAACTCTAATTTAGAACTAGAACATATTCAAGAAAATGAAGTAATCTTCTCAGTACAAAGAAAATCCGATTGTGGATATATCTGTTGATTGTCCTTTTTTATTCAAGAACTCATTATTTAAACAATTAAGTTAATTTGTATTAAATATTAAATATTCATAAACTCAAGAGAGATATTATTTCTTTATTTACTTTATTTAAATCAATAAAGATCAAATCGTTAAGGCCAATCAATTTTCTTTGTTTGATTTCTTTATGCATTCATTTATCATAGTATGAAAAACATTAATTTAAAAAACTAAAAAGAATATTCTATTTTCTTCTTCAATGACTCAAAAAAGATTCTTTTAAGAAATTATTAAAATAATAACAATAATAAAAATGAATAGTAAAAGATTGAAGGATAAATTAAACTTCAATCTACATTAATAAAATTGTATGAGTTTAACATCAAAGAAATTTAAATAAAAATTAACTGTAGGAATCTTAAAATTAAAAAAAAGTAAGGACACTATGGAAAACTTCATTTTGTCCGAAAATCCTAAATCTCAATCTTACAAAGAATCATCAATATCATTAGAATCATCTTCATGTATTTCTTCTAATACTATTGGGAGGACAAGTGAAAATTCAAGTGATGAAAATGAAACTTCAGATGAATCATCTGAACCTGAATATCAACCATTAACACCTTACAACTTACGATTTTATAAAAATTTTTACTGGTTTGAAAAAGTAACTCGGATTAAAGAATGGCTTGAGATTTCCCCTGATTGGCCTTCTTATCCATATCCATATTACTTTTCACAGTAATTTTTTTTATCATTCTTTCAGAAAAATTTCTTACAAAGAAAATAAAAAAAGTAAATTACTTATTCTTAATATTACTTTTATGTTCATCTTTTCCTACTACTTCAATTGAGTTTATCAGGGTTCTAAGGTCATATAAACGAATTTTCGTTTTGAGAAAAATAATTAAAAAAATCTCAAAAAAGAGAAAAGGAAAAACTAATGGGTGATTTCTTAGAAGGAGAGCACTGTTGGTGTCGTTTCCAAATAGGAAATGGTGAAATCCCTTGGCCATCTATCATTAAAAAAATTTATGACCAACGAACAGTTATAGTTCAAGTATTTGGAACTCCGAAATTGTTTGTCATTGTTATTATCAAAATGAAGTAAAAAGACACCAAAACATGAAAATTTAAATACAACAAACGAAAAGAATATAATGTAAAAGTGTCAATCAATTTTGGTAAATTTCAAACAAATAATGTATATTTACAATATAGGATCAAAACAAAAATTGAGTGGTTAGAACATGGATATAAATTATCACCAAGAAAAGTTATGGAAATAGCATCAAAAATGTCTTTAGAAAAAGAAAAAGTTACTGTGTTGTATGATGGACTGACACAATTTAAAGAGGGTTTGTATTAGTATTTTTGTATAGATGTATAATAAGTATTTATTCATTAAGTAGGTGAAAGAATTGCTGATTTACAAGTTCCCTTAGAAATGGAAAACTTTTGGATTCAACAAACACTTGAATTAATTTAACATATATTTTATTGTAATTCTTTTAGTTGTTTGGGATCCAAACAAAAATGATAATATAGACGAAAAAAACAAAATTATTATAGATATTCTATAAATAAAATAGATAGAGGCAACGAAATGAAATAATAAGATAGTACTCAAAAAGTTATTTTCATGGAAACAAGAAGCTTTGATAATATTGTTATTGAAGGATATATTATTGATGGCAAATATAATGGTGAAGTTAAAATCACCCAAAAAGAAATCAAACAAGAGATTTATTATACTATGAAAAGTGGAATGGTTTTAGTAATAAATCAAATTCCTAGTGTTGAAGAACATATCTTTGAACTATTTCCTTTTCCTCATTCATATGAAATAGAACAAATAGTAAATGAGTACCAATTTATTTTTTCAAAATTAAATATTTTTGAAGAAGTTATTGTTAGTGCTGAAAGTATTCAACAAGTTATTGAGACAAGTGAAAAAATTGAAGAACTTATACTTTTATTAGAATTATTATCTAAACCAATTTCAATTCCAATTAATATAAGCTTTTTAAATACAAAAACTGGAGAGTTACAAAATTTGATTGACGTTATAAGTTATTCAACCTTTCTTGAAAGAGTTATAAAGAATCTATGTTTTGGTAATTATTTATATTTAGTTTTATGTAAACGATGTTTAGAACATTGTTTATTATTTTCAATGAATAAAGAAATTGGAATGGTTCTTGGTGAATTATTAAAAAATATAGAAAATAATTGTTCAGAAGAAAATAAAAGAAATATAACATCATCAATTCAAGTTTTATGTTCTAATTGTCAAATAAAAACATTAGAACAATATACATTATTAAAAAGAATAAAAATTATAAAAAGTTTTTGGAGAAACATTAAAGAAAATGAAAAAGAACGATTTATAAGAAAACAAATAAAAGAAATTGGATTTATGTTATACCAACATAATCAAATTATTCAAAATCCCAAAAAGTTAATGATAGAAACATGGAAATATATTTATAATATATTAAAAACAAATGATAATATAATTAATATAATTAAACCATTATTTATAATTATTATAGCATCATACAGTAAAAATTATATTGAAAATATTGGATGGATTATTGATATTTGTAAAAACTATATTGAAATGAATCTTGTTTGTAATAATAGTGAATGTGACGGTTATATATTAACTATAATTGAAGAATGCAAAATGATACTAATTGATCAAACAAAACCGATTGATGATGTAATAAATAATAGTATTAAAAATGTTTGGAATAATGAAATATCAATTGAATACTTCAAAAGTATAGAAATAATTGAAAAACAATTAAATAATAAAATACCATTATGGAATTATCAAATAAAAGATTATGAAATTATTCCTATAAATTCAAAAAATGTAGTTGAATCAATTTCTAAAGGAAATATTGATTTATTTCATTTTATTATTTCAGGTTCTAATCCAATACTAAAAGAGTACTTAACTCATTTTTTACTTTATATTCATTTTCCATGGGAAAGAAATATTGAAAATGGTAGTACTAATCAAACTTTCCATGTAACAGAAAAAACAACAAGATGTCTTTTATTTTATTTAATGTATTCTCTTGGAAATTCACAAATTTTTGAAGGAAATGAATCACTTCAAAAATTATTTCTAAAATTAATTAAAAATTTAATTGAAAGAGATGATATTAAAATGATTACTTTAAACCAAAATAATAAAGAAAATGCAATGATTCTAAAGAGATATTTTAAAATAACAAAAGACATTCAATGTAGTTTATATTATTTTCATTCAGTATTATTAAATAATATTAATAATATTAATTTTATAAAAAATGAGTTAATTAGTATTTATGAACAATATCTTCATTCTCAAAATGATCAATTAAATGAAATGATGATAAAAAATAGACAACATATTTCTGAATTATTTAAACATTTAAATGATAAAAAAGAATTAGAAAATTATGCATTGAAGTTTCTTGGAGAAATTTGTGTAAAGACAGAAGATACTTCAATAATTCAAATAGAACAAAATGAAAAATATATAAAGAAATTAATTTTTAAATCAAGAAATAATTTAATAAAATATTTTAATAAAATTAATGAAAATGAATTATTAATTGGTAAAGAATTAGGAAAAGGTGTTTATGCAACAGTTAAGTCTGGATATTATAAAGGAAATAAAGTTGCAATTAAAATCTTTAATGAAAATTCTTATCAATTTAGAAGTGAAGATTTTCTTCAAGAAATAGCTATTATGAGTTTATTACATAATGAAAATATTATTAAAACATATGGTGCTACAGTTAATATGAAATTAAATGAAGAATCAACATTTTATATTATTAGTGAATTGGCAATAAATGGAAATTTAGAAGAACTAATTTATAAAAAATCTATTCATGAAGAAAATAAATTAAAAATGATTTTAGAAATTGCCAAAGGATTAAAATATCTTCATGAATTGAAAATAATTCATAGAGACCTTAAACCAGCAAATATTTTAATAGGAAATAATTTCACTATAAAAATATCTGATTTTGGTCTTTCTGCTTTTGTTAATGAAAAAAAATTAGACGTTATTTTGGGTTCTTATAAATGGATGTCTCCTGAACGTTTTTTAAAGAAAAAATATGGCAAACCAGCAGATGTATATGCCTTTGGTATTATCTCATGGCAAATACTTGAATTGGATGAACCATTTCAACAATACGTTTCAGTTGAGGATTTGCAAAATGCAATTTGCTCTTTAAATGAAAGACCTCCACTGACAAATATTTCAATTAATATGAAGAAGTTATTAGCCCGTTGTTGGAATAAAACTCCAAATAAAAGACCAAACTTTGTTTCAATAATTAAAGAATTATTAATCAATTCAATTGACTAATTAATTTCTCTCTTGAACTAACTCTATTTTTCTTTTTATTTTTAATATCATTTATATTTTATATTAATTATACTACAATATTCACTACTGACCATTAATGTATTTCTCTTCGTTTTGCAAGAAGGTCTAAGAGATACAAAGGGATAAACATCATTATAAATATGCTAATAGCAGTTATTAATACAACCCATGCTTTAAATCTAGAACTTATTTTCGTGATTTTTTCTTTTCTTAATATCTTTTCCATTTCTTGATAATGGTTATCCACATCAACGTGGATCATAGTGTCTGTGACATTTTCCATAAAAACTTTGAAATTGTTCAATAAGATTTTCAATTGTTCAATACTAAAAAAAAAAATAAAAAATAAAAATTTAAATTTAAAAAAAAAAAAGAAAACAATTTTAATAGAAAAAAAATCATAAAGAAATAATTTAAAATCATTTGAACAAAACCTAGCTACATGTTTCACATAAAATCACAATTTTGAAGAAACCCCGAATTGAAAAAGGAACTTAAAGGACTAAAAATTGCCAGTCTTAAGATGGGATTCCTTAAGGTTATTAAGAATAGAGCTTACTTCAAGAAGTATCAAACCCAATTCAGAAGAAGAAGAGAAGGAAAGACCGATTATTATGCTAGAAGAAAGATGATCTTCCAAGACAAAGACAAATTCAAGACTCCAAAATACAGAGTTGTTGTTAGAATTACCAATAAGACTGTCATTGCACAAATTGCTTACTCAGAAATTATTGGTGATAAAATCCTTTGTGCTGCTTATTCACATGAATTACCAAGATATGGAGTTAAATTAGGTTTAACCAACTACGCTGCTGCTTACTGCACTGGACTTCTTCTTGCTAGAAGACTTCTCAAAAACTTGGTATGGATAAACAATTTGTTGGAGTTTCTGATGCTGCTAAACTCGGTGAAGATTATACCCCAGAAGAAGTTGAAGAAAGAAGACCATTCAAATGTATTCTTGATGTTGGACTTGCTAGAACTACTACTGGTTCTAAAGTCTTTGCTGTTCTTAAGGGAATGTGTGATGGTGGAGTTTACGTCCCACACTCTGCTACCAGATTTGCTGGAGCTGGAGAAAATGAAGAAGCTCTTAGAAGCAGAATCCTTGGTGGACATGTTGCTGCTTACATGAAATATCTTTCTGGTGAAGATGCTGACCTTTACAAGAAACAATTTGGTAGATTCATTGCTGCTGGTATTGCTCCAGAAGCTCTTGAAAACATTTATATCGAGGCTCACAAGAAGATCAGAGAAAATCCAGCTGCTGAAAAGAAAGAAAAGAAGGAACACAAGAAATACCCAACCTCTAAGAAACTTACTCTTGAACAAAGAAAGGCTGCCATTCAAGCTAAACTCGCTAAACTTGCCCAACAAGCCTAATTCTTTTGATTTTTTTACTAAATTTTATTTTATTTATTTTTAATGTATTTTTATTAACTATATAACAATGTTTATTTAAATTATTTTAATTCATAAAATACATTAAAACAAGAGCAATTGTTTTTCTTTGTATTTTTGTCTTAAAAAGAAAATAAAAAATGATAACAAAGATATAGAAAATAACAAATACTATTTAAAAATAGAAATAACAAAAAGTTTATTAATCAAAAAACATTAATGAGTGTTAAAATAAATTTTCATTTATTTTCTTTCATTCTTTTTAAGTTAATGATTTTAAAATCAGAATGGCAATTGTTGTGGAAGGTAAGCAACAGGTTTATTATCTCCATATGAAAGAATAAATAATGGAAGGCAATAAGAGTATGACATATCAGTTGGATTATTAACACAGTAACAACAATTACTTATTACGTTATTAAATTTTTTTGATGATATGAAAACTAACATCAT